TCATTATCAAATTCCCAGGGAAATATTAAAATCCAAAGATTACATTTCATTTTAAATTAAAGTCCAAAGACATTTGAGTCATTCTCTGCCTAGGTGAGTTAAAATTCAAAGAAATTGAAGCACAAAATGCGTCCTCCCGTCCCTACTCTGCCTTATCCCCACCAGGGCGCCCCGAGCCCCCTCGTCAGGTTCTTCTGACAGCTGCAACTCCTATCGGCATCTTGAGGATTCACAAGCCCCAATACCAAGTCACTAATGTGCCTCGCTCCTTAAAATTTAAAAAGGTCAACGGGGCACAGGTTTATCAAAGCACTGCCTCCCCCACCCCGCCCCTTACAGCAAAGTTAGAAAATAAGCCAGTCCAGTCCTCTAATACTTACCTAACAGAAGCGTGTCCCCCAGAAAGTAGCACTTAGGATCTGTTGCCAGGTAGCAGGCCATAGACGGAAATGTGACACCGTGGACAAGGGGGTTGGTGGAAAAGTCTTGATTCCTCCTTCGCCAGGACTTCGGGTCGTGGGGAGTTGGTGGCCTCCGGCATTTGGGGGCAGTCTCTCACTAACTGCTTGAGTGATTCCAGGGAGCCAAGACCATGCTTCTCTCCTCCTGGGTTTTGTAGGCCCCAGTCACAGTTCCTGTTCTAGTAACAAATAAAACATTTACCCCTTTCCTAAAAGTCGCTTTAATAGCACGTAGGACTAGGTGCAATTTTCATTTCTGTTTAGATCGTTTTATCCTGATCTTTTAGATAATTGTTTTCTCTTTTATATCTGGGTACTCTGTCCTGTAAGACAGGGATCCCCAACCCCCCGGCCACAGACCGATATAGGTCAATGGCCTGTTTGGAACCGGGCCACACAGCAGGAGGAGAATGGCGGGCCAGAGAGCGAAGCTTCACCTGTATCTGCAGCCGCTCCCCAGCACCAGCATCACCACCTCAGCTCCGCCTCAGGTCCTCAGGCACTAGATTCTCAAGGTGCCCCGGTCCCTGGTGCCGCAAAGGTTGGGGACTACTGCTCTAAGATGTCAGCTTTTCCTCCTAACAACAAAAAAATCCCTCGTCCTTCATCTGAACCAGCCTATTGCTTTCCTTCGCTGTCGTTCCTGCTGCTTCTGTCCTGCTGGTGAGACCGAGACACTTTGCACATCGCTCCAGCTCCCCTTGGAGGTCCTGAGCAGCTTTGTCGTCCAGCACAGAATGCTCCAAACAAGACCTTTCTAAACTGCAGGATTTCGTTGAGTGTATCGTTCTGCATCAGTGTAAGGAGCCAGTGACAGTGTCCTTGGTTTTTTTCTCATCTTGGGATCTATTTAAATTTTCTCTTAGGTGCGATATTTGTTATAGGTTTCTGTCACATAGCCTTTTTCAAGTTAAAAAAGTTCTCTAGTTTTCTGAGAATTAAAATCATCAATAGGTGCTTAAACCGATCCTTTTTTCTGTGATAAGAGGTAATTATTAGTACATTAATGAGGATAACTGTACTGTAGATTTTCTGATCTCCATTAAATCATGGTGAATTTTTTAGTATGTTTAGTTAATCTAATATTTTTATGATTTTTCGGGGACAAGAGGGTCTGTGTTCATAAATCAAACGGGCCTGAGATTTTCTTACGGGTCTGCCTTATCCTGGTTATGGAACCAAGTCATGGCAGCTTCGTAAAATGAGTTGGGAAAGGTTTCCTCTTTTTCTGTTGTTTCGGAACAGCTTATATACACGACAGATGAGATATCTAGTCCTTTACAATTTGGTGATGCCCACTTGGAGAGCTGTCATTTTTGTCAGTGAGTCGTCATTTTTGTATCTTTAAGTTACTTAAATTGAAATATTTAAATTATTTTATTCAAACTTTTTATTCATTGTGTCAATTTTCTACTTTTCTGAAATATCTATTCTATCTAGATTTTCAATTTTTTTCATAAAGTTTATAATATTTTATTATTTTACCTATGTTTTTTACATCTTTTTCACTCTTTTTACTCTATTCTTTTTAAAATGGATATCTTTTTTCCTTCATCAGTGTTTCTGGAATTTTCTTATTCTGGCGGTAATCACTAGGAACCAGTTTTTGGTTTGGGTTAATCTTTCCTGTTGTGTTGTGACTCTAACAAAGGTAAGTGACAGCAGGCTTCTCTTCAGAAATGATGCTTAACAGGAACCAGCGAAATGACATCTTTAAAACACTAGAAAAAAACTGTCTATCTAGAACTATCTAGCCAAAATAGCCTTCAAAATTGATGAGGGCAAAACACAGACATATCCAGACAAATACAAGAGTTTAGAGAATTTGTCACCATTTGTTGCGCTCTGAGAAATGCTGAAGGCTGTCTTGCAGGGTGAAGGAGAATGTCGTCGCACGGAAACCTGATTCTCGGGCAGTCGACTGTGTGGGTCGACATAAAATACCTTTATCCTCACTTCTTAATTTATTTAAAATAAAATCGAGTCTTTGAAGCAATCATAATAGCAACGTATTTGGCGGTTTCTTATATAGAAGTCAAACGTGTGAGAACAGTTGCCCGCATGGCAGGTGGAGCATGGTCGTCAGATTTTTCCATTGCTCGTGAAATGGCGTACAGTAAGCTCTCAATGTCCTCGATCAGTTCTTGGAAAATGCGACTTGAAGTGAAGCAATGTGCAACGAAACCAGTTTGACCCGAGGCTCATTGACATAAACAAGAGAAAGTTCCTACGGCATATTTCCGGTCCCCGAGCATCACCAGACTTCTCAATAAAGACCTACAACACTTCTAATACTAACATTGAAATAAATGCAAGCCATAGATACATTTAAAAAAGATTAGTAGTAAGAGAATTACTCTCCAACCTGCTTACCCGGGGTCCCAGGTGGCTGGATCCCATCCTGATAGTTCAGGGCACCAGGCTGGACCCCACCCTGGACAGGACACCGTGCCATCGCAAGGCATACACGCGCGCGCACACTCTCCCTCCCTACTCATACCGGGACAATTTAGACACGACAGTCAACCTGGACACCGTGCCATCGCAAGGCATACACGCGCGCGCGCACACTCTCTCCCTCCCTGCTCATATCAGGACAATTTAGACACGACAGTCAACCCGATGTTCACTTCTTTGGGATGTGGAGGGAAACCAGAGTCCCCAGAGAAAACCCACGAAGACGTGGGAAGAATGCAGACTCCACACAGACAGGAATTGATTTTTTCCTCATTGACATTATAAGGAAACAGTGTTAAATGAAATGACATTATTCGAGGACCTGCTGCAAAATCATTTGTAGATCGACTACAACAGCTCTTAGGAGGAACCAGGTAACCAGCACCTGGACGGGACTTCTGACCGCCAGACGTGCGAGCGGCGGAGCTTTGTAGTTGGAGCCACACGGTTGTGGTCCTTTGTTTCGGCAGCCCTAGCAAACCGGCACAATAGCCAGAGCAGTTAAAACCAAAAAAGGTGGAGGATTATACTGCATCTTCCATGATTTACGATAAAGCTGATGAGCAAAGTGTGGTATTGGCATAGTAACGGTGTGTTTATATCAGGAGAACAGAGTAGAAAGTCTAGAAATAGACTGAATGAGGAAAAGGTGGCCTTTTCAACAAATGACTGGAGCAATTACATATCCCTACGGGAAATAAAAAGAACCTCAAACCTTAATCTGGCACCAAACTCAAAAGTTGATTTATAATGGAAATAAATCCAAAACCCAGAACCATAAAACTCAAGACAATCTGGATGTGTTGGGGTCAGCAATGATTTCTTAGGACACAGAGAGCACTAATCATGAACAAAATGACGAATCGTTCCTCTCAATTGAAAAGTTATGCTCTTTGAAGCACACTATTAAGAAAATGAAAAGACAAGCCCCAGTATAGGAGAAAATATTTGCAATCCATATATCTGGCAGAGGACTCGTTCATTTTCAAATTATGTGAAGAACTCTTGCTACTCAACAAAAAAGAACAGCTCAATTAGTAAAATGGGCAAAATACTTGAACAGCGCTTCATAAAAGATTTGGGAATGGCTCATAAGCTCTTGAAAAGATGCTTCCCCATCGTTAGTCATCAAAGAAATACAAATGATGTCACCTTAGAAAGTCTTATACCAAGTGCAGGTCTGAGGATGGCTTCGTCTCCAGGTAGGGACCACACCCACGTCGTTCACTATTTACTTCACACATGGACTCTAGTGATCATTTTATCTGTGTGTTGTTTTTAGGGGCTGTGTTATGAACACACATTGACCAAATGTGTTGGTTCGCCTCCGTTTACTGTATATTTAAATAGGAGATTCGGTCCTGCGTTGGGTAGTGTGCTCTTGCGAATGCTGCTGAACTAGGCATTGGCCATCAGACAGGTGAAAGATGGAGTCTCGGTGTGATAATCGCCCTTCTCTTCCTGCGAACAGAGTGGAGCACATTCTGTTATCTCTACGGTCCACCGGCATTTCTTTCTTTCTGTGCCGTTTCTGTTCATGTATTCATCCATTTTTCTATTGGATTGTTGGTCTTTTCTCTTTTTAGAATTTTTTTATTAAAATATTAACCCTTTGTGATATCTTAAAAATAATTTCTCCAGTTTTCATTCTGACTTCTTTTAAAACCTAGTCAGATTTTAAAACCCGTTCCATATTGCTTCCGGATTTTGAGTCATAGTTAGAAAAGTTTTTCCTACTCCTAGCTTAGAGAAAGAATTCACTACGAGTACTAGTAAACTTTAAGCTCAGATCCGTTTGGAGTTTATCCTCGGGAACAGTGTTAGGGTGTGATCCACTTTATCCTTGTTTATGTGGCTCCCCAGTTGCCCCAACATTTTTGATTAAAGTGGGGAAAAAAGTACCACTTTTTGTTGACGTGTCTGTCGTTAAATCTTTGTGGTTTGATGTAGGTGTTTCACGTGATTGCACGAACGATATCACAGCAATGAGTAAGGAGATCGAAAAGGAGAAACAGATCGTCTGTCATCTCTGCTGCTACCCAGGCTGTTTCCAATGTGTAAATTTGTCTTCTTTCTCTCCAGGTCAACGAGATGGACGCCATTCACTTGATCCTGGACAACTGCAGCCCTGACGACAGGAACCCCTGTATCCTTGCCTTGGAATCGCTGCGCTGAGCCACGGGGCCCTCAGCGCACCAAGCCCCTTTCCCGTGTTCGTTTGCCGTGTAGCTGGCGCGCGTTCCTGTTTGTTCGTTTGCTTGTTTGCCGCTTTCTCACGTAGCTGCTGGACTGTCTGTCGCTCGTGCAAACTGTGCGGTGTGGTGAGCTGAAGTTTGCGAGGTAAACCGCCCTGCTGAAACGCGCTTTAAGAGTCTGGGGCGCAGACAGCTCATCCGTGGCCCCATGTGTGCTGCACGGTCGCAGCGCCACCTCTCCAGACTGTGTTCGTGTTCTCTGGAGCAAGTGTGAACGGTTTCACTTTTTTTTTGCTCGGACGTTTCTAAGCACTCGGTCTTGTGGAAGAACCGTTTAAACTGTGGTTTGGGACATAGAAAGCGTGAGGAGCACTCAGACCCAGCAGTGGGGAGAGATGTTTCAGTGGCATCAAACTCTCGTTTCTGAGAGGCCCTGGTCCTGTGACCCTCGGTGACTGAAGCCAGGGCCTCTGACGCTTGCCCTTACCTGGGCTGAAACGAATCCCCTGTACTTTGTAGTGGTGCTGTGGGAGCTGACGTAGGACAGTGACGTGGAACCAGGGGCCAGACGCAGCCTGGTGGGTTTGAGAGAGAAACTGTTTGACGTCAGGACCTCCCCTGGTGACAGCCAAACTCAGCCCTGTTCCTTGCCCTGGCTCCTGCATGGCCTCGTGCTAATGGCATGTGGGGTGGGGCAGGGAAGACCATTGTAGGGATCTGGAGAGTGTAACCCTCTGGGGGACAGTGGGGATCCCAGCCCAGGACAGAAGAAGGAGCAAGAGGGGCATTTTAAAATGAAATTCCCCTCACTGTGGTTTCTGTCTACAAGAGAAGAGGAGCTGATGAAAAGCGTGTGTTTCAAAGTAAGTAGAAGGAAAAATGCGTATTTGTGCTAAAGATACTGTCATTTGCCTGATTGGCAATAGAAAAAGATATATCATTTCAAAGAGCATAAAGCTGTAAGCTCGGTGCGAAAGACAGACCGGGCCGCGTGGAGGATTCTCCTTGGGGTTAGAACAGAGCTGCTCCACTGCACTGTAGCCCGTCGCCACGGGCTGTATTTCTTACAGGGCTTTGAAATTATTTAGCTCCAAAAAACGAAAGGAAAAAAAGGAGAAAGCTTCCTGTCACAGGAAAGCAGTAGAACATTCTGGTACAGATGTTGAATTCCTGATAAAAAAAAGGTGATTTATTATGAGAAAAGAAATTCACCCGGTTTTACTTTCGTATTCCCTGAATTGACCTTCTGGTGAAAAAGGGTCCGATCACTGGTCTTTGGCTTTTAGCAAAGACCAAACCGTGAGGAGGCTGCGCGTGTGACTCCTGCTGACAGCCTCCGCTCCACCCCTCTGGCTGGAGGCCCCTCTGGCCGACAGTCTTTCGTTCATTCATTCATTTGTTTGTTCGCTCCTTTCAAGAAACACACAGTGTGTCCTGTGTGTGTGCTTACACACGCGCCCTTACCTGCTCCTGACAGCGCCGTGAAGCGGTGTGATCACCCTCCCCGCGTGCAGGTAAACTGAGAGTCTCGGTGACTTGTCCTGAAGGTCAGACCCGGAGTTTAAACTCAGGGTTCTTAGCCACTTGTCCACACTGCCTCCTCAACAGTCACTGGGAGGGGACAGTACACGGACAGAGAAACCACTGTAACTTGTTCATGTAGCAGAGAAATTCAGAATTCTGAATTGAAATTGATACGGGTAATCTATATAGATCCTGGTTTTTATAATGATAGTGAAGCATTGCAGACTCTGAGAGTCTCCTCTAAATTGTCAAGAAAAGGTAAAAAATTACATGTTTAGTGTTACATCTATTGAGTAATTCTTCAGAGTTTTATTTATTAAAGCTGCCAGATTTCAAAGGCATATAAAATACACAAAAGATGTATGACAGACATACTGAAATAAGGGTTGAATATCAGAAACGGGGGCGCGTTTTAGCCTGGGAACTCCGATTTTCCACGTGAGCCATAAATCATAACCGGGCCTTCCCAGCCCCCGCGCGGGTGAGGCCTGATGCAGGTGCCGGGGTGAAAGCCCGCCAGCAGCGCGCACGCTCCCCTCCCGCTTTCCTCCTCCAGGGCTGGTTTTCCTGTATTTTTATTCATCAGAATAATACATCGGTGTCGGCTCGTTTTAATGTCAAAAGGTGTCGAATGGGGCAATTCCATCTCTGCCTCTGCGCGCCCCGCTTTTCAGCTCCCTCTCTTCGCTCTTGTATTTGCTTTTGTAAATCTAAGTAACGAGCTCTGCTGACGTTCCTTGGTATATCAGAGTCTGACGTTACGTGTTTGCTTTTATCGTGACCTGAGGATTCTGTGCTTGTACGCCACCTCCTCCTCCCCTCGTGCTCCTGTGCAGTTAAGAGGACAGATCCCTTTTGCCATCGCCTGCCCTGCTGTCGGGAACAAGCGTCTTCTCAAGTGTTCATTTGCCGTTCGGATCTCACGTGAGTGTGTATGCGCGCGTAAAATGTGCTTGAGCGGACCTTTCGCCCGTTTTTTCATTGGGTTATCTCTTTGCGATGAATTTGTGATAGATCTTCATACATTCTAGGTAGAAGTTGTCAGCTACATGTGTCGCCGATACTTTTTTTCTTCTATTCTGTGACTTAACGCGTCACTCTCTGTAGTTTCCTTTGATTAACAGTTCTTCAGTTTTCGCCAAATTTGTCACTTTTCCTTTATGGTTAGTGGTTTGGATGTGTATCTTGTTAAAGAATTATTTTCCTGTGCTCAGATCGTAGTGATGATCCATATTCCGAATGCCCTGCAGTCCTTTGCGTTAGGTGTGTAATTCACCTGACGCTGCCCCTTGTGTGCAGCATGAGGTAGGGGCCTTATTTCTGTCTTTCCCCACGTGGACACTCAGTCGTCCTCACGTAGTTATTGAAAAGAACACGCACTGTCCACTGTGGCGCCACCTTTGTCAAGTGAAACATCCACACGGGCGCAGGTCCGTCGTCGGCCTCCGTTTCCTTCTCAGTGGATCTCTCTGTCCTTGCACCGGTACCATAGTCTTCAGCACTGTCCCCTTCCAGCACGACTTCATGTTAGTTGAGTGAGCCCCGCCAACAGTCTCTTCTTTTTTAAGACTATCCTGGCTATTTTCGGTCATTTCTGTTTTTGCATAAAAGTTTTAGAACCAGCTTGCCAAATTCTACACACACGTATGTATACTAATGTGCACATACATGTGCATACATATGCTCACTCAGATATGAACTCACCACCACCAAGAACAATTTAAAACCCCCACATATTGAGTTATTCATTGAAATTGCATCAACTAAAATCATTTTGACGAGAACTGACATCTAAACAAGACTGAGTCTTCCACCCCACAAACATGGTATATCTGTTTAAGATTATTAATTTTTAGCCTTTATTCTTTTCTATGTACTTTTATAGCTCCATGGCATGTATTATTTTTGTTACCATTCGTTTAAAGTGTTTTCTGATTTCTATTATGGTTTCTTTTTTGACTCATGGATTATTTAGAAATCCAGTTCTTAATTTCCAAACAAATAGCAATTTTCTAGTTACCTTTTGGAGACTGCGTTTTAGTATAAATGCAGAGATCACATACTTGATGTTCTCTGCCCTATGAAATTTATCGAGACTTGCTTTATGACCCAGTGTTGGGCAGTGTTTTGCAGATGTTCTTTGTGTGCTTGAAAAGCACGTCTGTTCTCCCAGTAGTGCGGTCTAGCACACACACACACACACGCGCACACAGACACACACACACACACGCACACACACTAAGCCAAGTCTGTAAAACTTAGATTTCTACTGATATTTTCGTCTACTTTGCTTTATCAGTTACAGAGAAAGAGATTTAAAGATATCAGTCTATGATTATATAGTTGTCTATTTTTCCTTTTAGTTGTATAAATTTGTCCTTTATATGTTTTGAGGCAATGTTACTGGATAAAGGTTTACAGTAGATCTTGAGCTGTGTCCATGTTGTTATAAAATGATCCTCTTTATCACTAAAAATGCTTTTTGCCTTAAAGTCTTTTTTGCCTAATGTTAATGTAGCTACCCTAGCTTGCTTTTGGTTGATATTTCCATGGTATAACTCTTCATTCCTTTTATCGTCAACCTTTCTGCATTTGAGGTGTCTTTATAAACAGCATATAATGGGGGTTTTCTTTTAATCTGGTTTGACAGTCTTTGTCTTTTAGCTATTGGATTTAGCCCATTTATATTTAACGTAATTACTGATCTATTTATACTTAAGCTCCTCTATTCGTCTTTCCTATTTTGTCTTTCTTTTTTGCTTAATATAGTTCATTTTCTCTTCTTCTACTTTAAAAGTTCTTTATTTTTTTTTCCATTGTGGTAGTAGTCCCCTAGGAAATTACGACATGCATTCTTAACTAAGCACTGTTTACTGTTTCTCAAACCTTCACCCTCTTCCCAGGTCCTACAGCACCTTTAGCACTTTTCAGCTTTTATGCTGCTGCTGTTGTATGTTTTAATTCTATTTCTGAAACCCCATAAAATATTGTTGTTTTATGAAGTCTGTTCATTTAGCTCTGTCCACATATTTGCTGCTTTCCTAGCCCTCCACCCTCCTTACGTCTCTGTCCACCGTCTGGGATTCTGTTCCTTCTACCTCGTCCTCTTTTAGAATTCTCTCTAAATTGGCCCCATTGGGGAACTAATTGAGTTTGTATGAAAACATTTTTCTTTCACCTTTGCTTTTCTGATCTCCCGCTGGAGAGTGTACCCCGAAGCCAGCATTCTGATGGGACGGCCGCAGGCGCTCAGCACTTCAGTCTGTGCGCCTCCACTCAGTTCCACGATTGCCAGCGTGGTGTCCGCACCCTTAGCTGTATCTGGTGTCCTCCATGCCAGGGGGTCTCTTTTTTGCCCTTTTTGTTGAATTAATGAATCTTCTGTTCAGATAGAGGGGAGAACTGGGAGTTCACCTGCTTTTTAAAA